CATCTGTTAAAAAGGCTGTCTTTTTTCCATTGGATATTCTTTCCTGCTTTGTCAAAGATCAGTTGGCTGTATACTTTTGGGTCCACTTCTGAGTTCTCAATTCTGTTCCATTGGTCTATGTGTCTGTTTTTGTGCCATTACCATACTGTCTTGATGATGACAGCTTTGTAGTAGAGGCTAAAGTCTGGGATGGTGATCCCTCCCGTTTTGGTTTTTGCAAATGACATATCAGATAAAGGGTTAATATCAAGAATCTATAAGGAACTCACCAAACTACACGCCCGAAAAACAAACAACCCAGTGAAGAAATGGGCAGAAGATATGAACAGACACTTCTCCAAAGAGGACATCCAGATGGCCAACAGACACATGAAACGATGCTCAGCATCCCTCGTCATCAGGGAAATACAAATCAAAACCACACTGAGATACCACCTCACGCCAGTCAGAGTAGCTAAAATGAGCAAATCAGAGAACTCTAGATGCTGGTGAGGATGTGGAGAAACGGGAACCCTCCTACACTGTTGGTGGGAATGTAAACTGGTACAGCCCCTCTGGAAAACAGTGTGGAGGTTCCTCAGGAAACTAACAATAGAACTCCCCTATGACCCAGCAATAGCACTGCTAGGAATTTACCCAAGGGATACAGAAATGCTGAGGCATAGGAGCACATGTACCCCAATGTTCATAGCAGCACTCTCCACAATAGCTAAAACATGGAAAGAGCCTAAGTGTCCATCAACGGACGAATGGATCAAGAAGATGTGGTTTATCTATACCATGGAATACTACATGGCAATGAGAAACAATGAAATCTGGCCATGTGTAGCAATATGGATGGACCTTGAGGGTGTTATGCTGAGCGAAATAAGTCAGGCAGAGAAGGACAAATACCATATGTTCGCACGTATAGGAGGATTAGGAGGAACTTGACGGAGGACCAACCGGGAGAAGAAGGGGGGAAATGGTGGGGGAAAGGGAGAGAGGCAAACCATGAGAGACTCTTGAATGCTGACAAAAACTGAGGACTGATGGATGTGGGGGGGAGGAGGGATGGGCATGGAGGAGGGCACTTGTGGGGATGAGCACTGGGTGTTATGTGGAAACTAATTTGACAATAAACTATTTGTAAAAAGGAAAAAAAAAAAAAAAGGAATGTATGCATGGTTTTTCCAAAAGCAGCTATTTGATGAGCTGTTTGCCTGACCCCAACTATGGCTTCTTGTATTTCCACAGGCCTTGGGCTTTGCCCTTGCGAGTGTTGTTGGTGTGGCCTCAGGTAATTTGTTTACACATATGCACCAATCAGGACTCTGATAAGTATTTGAGGGGACCCTCTGCAGATCTTCAAGGCTCTACCTTTGGTAGTTCTCTCTTCTTTATTTCTCTGTCTCATGAACTCTATAAACAATTTTGTCCTCTTAGATTCTTAGCAATGATTCCTCAACTCAGAAAGTTCACAGGCTCTGTCTGGGTTTCTGCCTATAAACTCTATCAACGCAGTGAGCTGGGGCCATTGTAGGATTAATTTATTTTTAAATGTTTATTTATTTTGAAAGGGGAGGGCAGAAGAAGAGGAGAGAAAGAATCCCAAGCAGGCTCTGATCTGCGCAGCAGGGAGCAAGACACGAGACTTGATCTCAAAACTCGTGAGGTCATGACCAGAGTCGAAATCAAGACTTAACAGACTAAGTCACCCAAGCGCCCCTGTGGGATTTATTTTGTATGTTTCCCTGACTCTCAAGGAGTCCTTTGTTGCCAGAGACTCATTTTCTTAAAAACTGTGGCTTTATACACTTTTTTCTAATTATTTTGGTTGTTTGAGATTGGAAGATGAATTCAATAGCTCCATTTTGGCCCAAAGTAGAAGTTCTCATCATTTATTTCTCATTGATCAAGAATATATTGAATGCCTGTATACACTAGGTACCATTCTAAGCATTGGATGAAATAGGTAATAAAGATTAGAAATCTGAAAAGAGAGGAAAATGTTACAATCACAGGAAAGACATAATATAACCTTAAAAAGAGAGAAAATGGCTTACAACTAACAGTTTTGCAGTAAGAAACGGGAGGAAAACTCAAAAGTTTAAATAAAACCTCACTAATTCATACTAACATAAGTGATCCTATACCTCTCAGAAAAACACTATAGCGTTACAATGTTGAGAAATAATAATGGCTATTCCTAACAATGATATCTAAGGAAACAGTGTCCAAACCTCAGTTTCTCAAAAAATTAGATTATAGTTCAAAATGGTAAACCTCAAAAAATGATCCAAACTAACTGTGGATACTTAAAGATCACTTATCGGGAAAAATCACTTCTTGAAAAAGAGCTTATCACTTGTTTGTGGTGAACAGTAGAGACACAACTGGTTTCATGCTGGAGCATGTGATTAAGTACAGGGACTCTGGAGTACTGAGAAAAGCAGTTTTGGTAGGTCCTTGCTTCCAAGGACTTTGTCTTCTGTGACATCTCATGTGTAGAACATTGAAACCACTATCTCATGAGAATATTTTGATAATCTCCCTCTGGCACCTTGCGTCTAAGATTTTCTACTTGGGGCAATAAATAACTCTGGTTGCTGGGCAAATACCTCTATGAGATGTTTCTAACATCTTCTAAGAACCCATCCATTCTCCATCTATGCCAAGGAAGGTGATTCCAGGGGAACTGTGCTGCTGAGCTCACCTGCCAACCCAAGCTGAGGACGCAGGTTATAGTAAGGAGGTTGCATCTCACATAGAAAGAACTGTTGAATGTATGTTTTTGAAAAAACAAAGATCAGGAGCACCTGACTTGCCCAGTTGGAGGAGCATGTGACTCTTGATCTTGGGGTCATAAGTTCAAGCCCCACGTGTGATACAGAGATTACCTAAACAAATAAGTCTTAAAAAATAAAAAAACAAAGATGGGCAACCATCTTTAGGAGCTGCTTCATTGACATTTTCCATAGACTCAGAATGAAAGTCATGGAAGCTCAGTGCCTTTAGAAAGGAAACCAAAAAGGGAGTTGGGAAAAGATGAGAATAAAGACACCTAACTGAAGGGCCAAGAAGAGTGTTCTGTAGTTCAAGGTTAACAGAAGGGTCTTAGGGGCCCTCCTTATGAGGGGCAGACTCACTCCCTCAGCTAAAAAGACATGCTTTGTGAAACTCTTTTTACTAGACATTTTATGAAGGAATATAGTGGGATATAGTAGACATTCACTGCCAAGAATATGAGAATAGGAGACTGAACAAGCATAGGTCTATACATCAATGCATGGAAATGTATATATTGTGATTAATTTGGGATCTGCTCCTCAAAAATATGTTTGTATCTATAAAAAGATAACTTTGCTTGCATTAACATGCTTTTAAAACAGCACAGCTTTGGTTAAGGGCAGAAAAAGAATGTCTCTTATCCCAATATTCCCTGTCTCTAGCTTTTTTCCTGAAAAGGAATCCTTCATCAATCTCTGTTTAATTCCTCTTCTGGTGTTTCAGTTTGGGGCCTACTTTTAAATGATATGATTTCACAAAAGATATTGTGTTTTGATTTCATGCTCTTCCAGGTAGATAGAGTTTAGGTCAGTTATATTACCTCCCCCCTTCTCCAATCTCACATATCCAAATGCAGTTACATCACTGGTTTGTTTCTGCTTGGAATCTTAAACAAAACATTTAAATCTAAGTGTAGTCAGCCAATCATTTATAATTTTCCTACCCTTCTTTGTAGGATAAATAAATAAGTGCTAACCTTAATTTCCTCCAATTATGGTATTTTTTGTTGGTTTGTTTGAGTATAGTTGACAGTGTACCGTTTCAATTGTACTACACACTGATTCAGCAATTCTATGCGTTATTCTATGATCCCCACAAGTATAGCTACCCTCTGTCACCATATAACACCTATCACAATACCATTGACTGTATTTCCTATGCTGTTCCTTTTATTCCCATGACTTACTCATTCCATAGCTGGAAGCCTGTATCTCTCCCTCCCTTCACCCATGTTTCCCACCCCCCAACTCCCTCTGCCATTACTTTGTTCTCTGTATTTATAGGTCTGATTCTGCTTTTTGTTTATTACTTTTTTTGTAGATTCCATATCAATTATGCCATTTTTATTGGTACTTACTTCCTACTAAACTACATCTGTTTTCAAATAGAAATATTTCAAATTTTATTCAAGAAAATATTTGTTAATGTTTGAAACTATTCTAGCACCAGCTAAGATATAATAACAATTCAAATTTAATAATTTTATCACTCATATTTTGAAAACTCAACATATAAATTAATTCTAAAAATGAAGGGTGTCAGGATGTCACATGAAGGATTTTCTTTTTTTGTTGTTAACGGTTTGGGGTTTATATGGGTTATTGAAATATCCTATGCTTTATCTCTATAGGTAAAACTAAAAGGAAAAATGACCAGGTTTCCAGAAGCCTGAATATTTGTATGCATGATGTTGATGTGGAGAAAGTGCAGGAACTTCTCTCAAGAGTTTCAGTTAAGGTGATTGAAAATAAAAGTAGATGCAAGCATAATTAAAAGAAAGAAAGAAAGAAAGTGCAGGAACTTCTCTCAAGAGTTTCAGTTAAGGTGATTGAAAATAAAAGTAGATGCAAGCATAATTAAATAAATTAAGAAATAGAGTCCTTACAATAAAATTTTTCTAAGCACTGAGATAAAAAAGAAAATTATTTTCTTTAAAGAAATTTCAAGAAAATTTCATTGTCACTTGATCAATGATTAGAGTGTTCTAGGCCAAATGAACTCTAGTAGCTCTTACTTTTTACTAGCAGGTATCCATTGCCCTAACTCCAGGTAGTTATGCAGATAATTTGGAAACATTTTAAGGATCAATTCTTTAATCAATAAGGATGTCTAGGATTAGTGTTGCCCCAGGGGAGTTAGGTGCACTATGTCTTCCTATCATAAGATCTGTGTTTTTCTCCTAATAGAAATGCTTAGAAGCTCATTTGTGCTGGATCCCAAGAAATATCCTTATGGATCTTATAAACAGTAGCTGGTTCCAGCCACCCACTCTCCTTCTAACAGGCATTCCTGGACTGGAGGCTGTACACATATGGATCTCTATCCCGCTGTGTGTAATGAATCTCATTGCCCTCCTGGGGAACTGCACCATCCTCTTTGTTATCAAAACCACCCCCAGCCTTCATGAGCCCCTATACATTTTCCTGTCTATGCTGGCAACCACAGATGTGGGTCTGTCTTTATCAACTCTTCCTACAGTACTCAGTGTCTTCCTCCTGAATCACAGAGAAATTGAGTTCCACTCTTGTCTGACACAGATGTTCTTCATCCATACCTTCTCCTCCATGGAGTCAGCCATCCTGTTGGCCATGGCCTTTGACCGATTTGTAGCTATTCACAACCCATTGCACTACACTGTGGTCTTAACCTCTCCTCGGATTGTTGGAATGGGGATTGCAGCCATGGTTAGGGACGTGGTGTTGATGGCACCCTTGCCCATCCTGCTCAAGCGATTGTCCTTCTGCAAGGGTGTT